GAATCTGAATCACTTGAAAAAAACACGGGGGTGCTTAACTTTTTTCCAGGTGTATATGTTTAATAACCAACTTCTGTGATTTAGTAGTACATCTAGTAATAATAAAATACTCCCTCTTTTGCATACAATATTAGAATGAACTGTCATTCAGTGTTTGCCTCTTTTCAAGGTAAATTTATCCTAGATGAAAAGAGATAACTCTTCAATACACAATACTTGTATAATAACTTATCCTATTTTAATGCAGTTTAGAACTAATGTCTATGCTAAGATTGAATGTGTATAAAGATACTGTAACGTTTAGTATTTCTCTTTCATCCTCATATTACTTTGAAAAGTTAGGTTTGAATCATCTTTGTCTGATAGGGTAATGGGTTCTTAAACTGTATAATCAGACTTGCTGTCATTTTCATAATACAGCTGAAAGTATGGAGCACGTTCAACAACATTACACCTCAAACCACAGACACTTTGACTCAACAACCACTAGGCCTCAGACTCCTAAGAAGGTAATGGAATTAATAGTTTAATTGTAAAAGACATTTTTTCCTTTATCTTCAGCACTTTCTTGGGACTTTAATTTTCTCTGTGTTACCCTCCCACCTTGTCAAACTTCAGTTTCTTCTAGTGATACATGTTTGTGCATTGTAGATAACTGACATTTTGAATCAGTACCCTTAGAATAACATAATTTGTCATAGTAATACATTTTTGCAAAACAAATAGAAGTTTGTATATGACTAATGCTATATATTATCATATGTTTATGGAAACTATAATAAATCAGTACATGTAAATATCGCATATCTCAATAATATAATTTAATGAATGCAGTTTCTTCTTCTTTCCACCTCTTGGTATATACATCTATATATATAAACTTTTGCAAGAAAAATAACACTATATAATACACTTCCTTCCAAGATCTAACTATTAGAGGTCACATAAGTCCGAGTGTCTAGTAGTGTGTTTCACATTCAATACATATTTTGCTTTCCCATACTTCATACATGCAATGAATTGAAACACAACACCGACGGACATTTTAAACAAATGTGAGAATTTCCTAAAATTTTCTCCTAGTAAGGCTACTACCCAAATATATGGCAAAACTAAGATCCTGTTAGCAAACTCATTTGTTGTATTTTGAAGCATCTATATACCAATCTAAACAGGGCTTGCAACTAACTTTTTGTCTACTTGCACATGTTTGCAAGTTAGTTTAAAAGTTATCTGCAAAATGCCAGCCATGCTGTCAAAAAAAACAAAAAACTATTCAAAAGTGGTATGCCTTTAATAGATATAATTAGTTATTGGACATAAATTTCCAGGAAGAGTTAATTTTTGATTTAATATCTTTTAGCCTACTATCAAATTTGTAGATATATGTTTTGTATAATAATTACATATCCTAATATACAACGAAAGAAAAATCAGAAACACCACTGGAATGAGTTTTTTTTTTACTACTACTGGCTTATCAATCAATTAAAGTATTGTGGATTTTCCCATAAATGTTATACTTGCAGCCATTTCTTAAAAGTAATGTTTACTATTTTTTACAACTGGTATAAATCTTTATAATTGTGCTTCGAATATCACTAACTGGCAGAAAATGCCAGTGCCTCTTAATGATCAGTGGCTGAAGACTATAGAACTCACTAGTTTTTTGTCAGCTAGCCACCACTAATTTTGCGCCCTTACAATATTTCAAAATACTGAACAAAGAGGTGTTAACTGCATAATCACTTACATTTTTAATACATGAAAGTGTTGCTTGTCAGAAAAACTACTTCCAACAACAGAAATACAAACACTTCTTCATCACTACTTTCTAGATTAAAGTTTTTTTCTCAAAAAATTTCTTACATGATTCTTACAGTTTCGCAGCTTCATATGTTAAGCTACCATTTTTTACAATTTAGCCTTCACACTGACTCAGACTCAGCAGCACATTTCATTGGGCAATATTTCTGCAAAGAAATTCATGGTTGACCTTCTCCTATTCCTATTTCTTGATGCATGCTTTTAACAACTCAGCAATTAATGGTGCAATATTTCATGGTTTGGTGAAGTGTTTGCACATAAACAACATACATAAGGTACACATTCATCTCTGTCTTGATATTTAACATGTTATATAACTACAGGCTTCCAAGTATCAGTCAATTTATTGACTTCAGGAATTTTTCAAAGTTACAACATTCTTACCATAATTACAGTTTAGTTAAAAATGAAGCTGAGCTACGCATTTCTTTTTCACCTTTACAATCACATCATTTCCTTCTTCAACACAGGTCAAACTATAAGTACTCTTCTTTAAAACACAAGTTTCCCTCTCTTGCAGAGTAGGAGTTACATTTTTCAAAATATAAATAACACCTCTCCTAGATTTTTTCCCCTCCACCACTCATTTCTGGGAGCTACCCAAGAATAACAAATGTACTGATATAACATACAGCACATCACTGAAAATTATCCCAAAAAACTTAAAAGGACAGCTTTCCACAGAAATAGACATCTTTCAAACTACTTTTACTGTCATGATTTTAGTTGCATAGTTTCATCCCTTATCATGGTAAGGGATTATTTTTTATCTTTTTGGATGTCCAATATATATACATGTTCATGTTACTTATTCTTACTTCACTTAGCACAATACCATATGTGCAACTTGTTTTATATTTCAGAACTGTCACATGGGCTTAATCTATTCCAAGATGATATTCAACCGACAAATTTTGACTACTAGCCATGCCTTACTATATACAAAACATAGAAATACTACCTTGCATTTTTTAAATTTACTGAAACACAATTTTTATATATTATTCAGAGTATTTAATAAAAAAATATCATCTGAATAATTATTTTTCTTTACACATCAGAGCAGTTAAAATTTTAACCATTCTACAGCAACTTTAATAATGTACCACTAGTCCTAATGAAGATGCAATGGTAAAACATTGGCTGAAATAAAGTTTTTTTAATTAATATCTGGAATAAATATCTTTTTTCTTCTGACTTTATTGTAAAAATGCTTAAATCCCTTCATTATAACTACAAATTCTGAAAAACAACAAAATAGTCTCCAGAGTTTTCAATCTAATTTTGATCACTTTTTCTTTTTTTTTTACTAGGCCTAAACTGTTCTGTGCTCTAAATGTTCAAAAAGTTGTCAAACTAAACATACCCTAATTTTAATAATGCTTGGAGACGGCTTGAATGGGTAATGAAGAAAAACTTTAATATAAGTTTAACGTAACAGCAAATGTACAACGTTTAGACAATGTTTTGTCATCATCAGGTTGCTGGTTGCTCTTAAAGTTTCTGATGATACTGGCTTTTCAAGAATTTCCACATATATGGTTTTGCAGTAACATCACGACCTCATACAAAGTTTAGTAAAAATTTTCTCCATCTCCTTAAAAAAAATCATTATATTTTCTTCAGTTCCTCTAAGTTTTGAGGTTGAACACCAATGGATTCCTCACATCTGATAAAATTTGCAAGAAAGTTGAGGAAGTACTAGGTGGAATACCATACATTATCTGGTTGATTCAAAGATTGGTTATTAATAAAAACACTTAAAATTTTAAAATTATACCTAGAGAATTTTCACTCATTTTTTCTTGAATTGTACTAAAAACATGTAACTGATACCTGAATTATATGAATTAATTTTGTTTTCTTACAAACGTATTCATCTTCACCACAGAAGGACAAACCTGGTAAGTTCATAGCTCTTTCTAGGTCAGGACATTATTATGTTCATGAAAAAAACTGAGAAACTAGATATATTGTAATGTATTAGGTCATCAAGAAATTAACGTTGTTTTTTTTTAGATGAAAAAATCCAAAAACTTGTATATCAAAACAAAACATTTACTAAATGAAATGGTCTCCATTCTTATCGATGATACTTTTCCATCTTACAATCAGATTGTTAATGCCCTGATTAAAGAAATCACTTGGCCTTGAAGCAAAAACATGTCAATGTCCTCTTTAACACCTTTCATATTTGTGTACGTTTTCCCATTAAGATGGTGTCGCAGAAAACGAAAAAGATGGTAATCTGATGGTGCCATATCTGGAGAATATGGTGGGTGGGGGAGAACTTCCCAATCCAACTCCATAATTTTGTGTTGCATCAAACATGCCACATGTGGATGTGCATTGTTCTGGAGAAGAACAATACCTTTCCAACTGATGAGTGAAGGGCACTTCTG